GGTCACACAACTTTTAATGCAAGTTTTCTACTTGTGAAAACCTATTGACAGCTATCAATTACAGATAATTACACAAAGAAATGTTTTTCATTTGTAACATTGCATGGAATCAATCTTTTTTCACGGAAATTTTTTTAACGAAAGATCGCAATAAGACCTATCTGAGAGAGCGTAAAACAATTTTTTGGGGAAATGGTCAATTTTGAAATATACCGATACCTTTATACTTTTATTGGCTACTCCTAAAAACAGTAAAAACTACACTAGGAGGTTGAAAAACAAAACGAAACCGCCGAAACGAACGAAAATACCTAAATGACCGAAAAGCAATCTGCCGAAACGAAACAAAATCACGGAAATAAGCAAAACCCTTTATCTTCATCGGTTAGCCCTCAATGAAACATAATGGTTTTCTAACTTTCGCTTTCGTTGGTTTTTCGGCCGTTTTTTGGCGGATTCGTTTAAAAAAACTGGTCTCATTCAAAAAAACCGCAATAAACAGATAACCAAGCCAACCAAGCACATATGTTCGAGATCGAATTCCTTCCAACACGTGGCGAAAGCAAAGGAAGTCGAGATTGCAGAACACCCGGAGAAGACACGATACATTGTTATCGACTTCACATTGAAACTAAAGTTTTGAGCTCACACAGTTACCAATTAGTCTTAGTGAAATACTTCAAGCCTACGAAATCAAAATACCTACCAAAAACTCTCGCCCACAGACAGTCCGAGCAGCCTGAAAGCCCATGGAAAGAATATTCAAACCGAAAGTGATGATGAAGCAAATTTCTGGAAGCTACCAAATTGCTCCCCATTCTCGTCCCCATAGCCCTTTTCGCTCCTCTTAGTCGGCGGGGCCTTGGCACGAGAATCGAGGGCTCTTTCTGGAGACATGGCATTTTCCTTGGATTTTCCACTAAATCACAATCTAAGATCACTTGTCCAGAAGCATGATGTCTTCGAAAATATGGCGGGTGTTGTGGAGTTGTGCTTTTTAGGGTAAGACATTTTGGCGTTTTTCTGTTTTTATTTGCTCTTCTGTGGCTTGTTCTTACACTATCATAAGCAAAATTTTTTCTTTGTATTGAAAAATAACTTGCCGCGTAACGAAGCGGTTTTAGAAGGTAAATTCGAGCGCATGGCGGTACATACATACATACATACATACATGCATACATGCATACATGCATACATGCATACATGCATACATGCATA